ACCAAAATGGACCCTTTTCTCTACCTACAGTAGAATGCAAAACAGAAATCCCAAAAATCCTAAGGGGTTGTTCTCTTCGTGTTTCAGTTTTGTGTTTTGAGTTTCGAATTCATTTTGAGTTTTTTGTTTTGAATGTTTGTTTTGAAATTGTTGAAAATGCGTTCTTTTTGTCATTCTGAAAAACGATTTCTCAAAACAAAAAATGAAAAACGTGTTTACTATGAAATTCTTTGAAATTTTGGAAAACCACCATCAACCACCGGCAATACCATTGTCGCCACCAACAACACCTGTGCCACCACCATCAACAATCAACAACACTGCCACCATCATTAAACATCAATCACTGCCATCACCATCAACACCACTGCCACCACCCTGAACCACAAACCATTGACAAAAAGCCCAAATGGGAAAGCCATCCTAAACCACCATCAACACCAGATCGAAAAACCCAAATCGAAAAATCACCCTGAACCACCATCAACACCAGATCGATAAACGAATAAAACCCCCAAAAGTGAGAGAGAGAGAGAGAGAGAGAAGAGGGGGAAGAAACCACCATCAACACCCATCACCCATCGCGCTACTGCGAATCGTCTCTCCCAAACCACAGCCAGCGTCGAAGAGAGAATGGGTCTTGCCTCCCTACACAGCATTGCGATTCCCCACGAACCCAACCACGCAGTGTTGTGACGAATGGGTTGCGCCTCCCCACGCCGACGCCAGCACCGGCGCCACCACCATCAACCACTCCATCGCTAACGTCGAGAAGGGAGAAGGAAGAGACGACCAAAAGGAGAGAATGAAGCAGGAATTCATAGCCGTTGGTTTTTTCTCTCTCTCTTGTTTTTCACGTTTTGGGTTTTTCTCGTGTTTCGTACAGAAAACATTCAAAACGACATTTTGGTCGATTTGTATTTTCTTCACAAATTTTTCTTTGTTTTTGAAAACGCGTTTTCGAAAACGAAGAAGGGAACACATTTTCACTGTTTTGAAAAATCGAAAACGGAAAATGGCCCGAAAACGCCAAAGAGAATAGACCCTAAGATTTCATAACATAGGATTTGTCTTAAGAGATGTGCAAGTATCTGGCTCCCTAGTTCAACAGTTCCACCTTTGGCTTTCTTGGTTGCCAGCTATCCCTTCCCCGTTTGCCCAGTAGAAGCACAAAAATTCTATTTTTCAAAAACCCACACTCAACAATAATCAATATTAACAGAAATATATATATAAAAAGGTTCAAGTTTTAAATATAAGAAACTAAACACTTAAATTGAAAATACTTATCAGTTACCACTTGCGGGGTTGAAGTCTTGGAAAGGAATTGAATGGCCGTTGCTAACTTGCTCGTAGAGATGGCAACGGAATCAGGGCAGGGCGGAGCAACTTTTTTCCCCGTTTAATTTTTTTATTTTATTTTTTTTTACATTTTCAAAATTTCGGGTTATGTTATAATTAGAGAATAAAATACAAATTTAAAATGGGTTTTTAGCGAGTAAATTATCTAGAAATAAAATTAATTTTATTATTTTCTTTTTTTATATATTCACGAGGTGGGTTTTTTTGCCCATTCGAGGCGGGGGTCGTCAGGGCAGGGTGGGGGCGAGATTTTTTGTCATCCCTACTTGCTCAGGCCTAATGGAGGAGACTAGAGAGGAGGAAAATAGAATAAGTTTAAGGTTTGAATTTGAGTTTGAGTTTGGGTTATAAATGGGTAATCAAATTTAAATTTTGTTTGGGCCAAAAAAATTGGAGTTGGTTCAATTACTCATTTTGTTGGATTGGACTCATTAATTTCTTGGAATGAAGGCATACACAATAGCCTGTGTCCAAAAATAAATAAATAAATAAATAAATAACAAAAACAACAAAAATAAAGGTGGACTAACTGGATCTGAGCTTAGACGGGCACGAGCTATAGTCCGGGGTAGCCCATGCCTAGATTCGCCCCTGTGTTGAATGTGCTACACTTTGAAGTGATGCATCGAACTTGTCGTTTTGTAAACCTTGTGTTTGTAAGTTGAATGAAAAATGGCAAAAGTTTCCATTAGTATAATTTATTTTATGTATCATTTTCACTACACCCATTAATAACTAGTTTACTTTAGCCCTTGCACACCCCCCCAAGTGTCAAGCAAAAAGTTGTTGAAAGAAAAATGAAAGTTTGAAAGAAAGACAATTAGTGAGCATCAAAATGCGTTCACAGATAGAAAGGTCAAAAAATTATACTAAAAAGTTAATTCGAGTTATCTTTTTTAAATAGGTCCTATTAGCGCTAAGTTTGCCGTTCATTGTCTAGAATAATATTCATTCATGCTGGTGATTTTTTTTGCATGTCTCTCGTCATAAAATTAAGGTTTAAGGCATGCTCATGGTCTTAGTGCCCACATTGCACGAATTGGTCTATTATACTTTGTACTCCCCCCCACCCCCCCCCCCCCCAAAAAAAAAAAAGGTTGAACCCCAACCTTGAGAGCCCCCATCGCCCCGCTCCTGGAGTACGCGAGGGAGGTAAATCGCAGGAATTGCCCCAACAGGCTAAGAAACAAAAGTTTGTCTGTACACTGATATCCACAAAGAGTCCAATTCCATATATTAGGAATAGAACATTTACGCTGCGGCTGCCAGCAAGATTAAGACTACCTCACTCCTATCCTTTGCACCACTGAGTTATGTCCTGAAGGGCATACTTTGTATTCCATCTAAGCATAGAGTGAGTTGTGTGCAATGATATCACTGTTCATCATTAATACTTTTTTGGATAATCAAATTTTTATTCTTGTAATGCTCACTTGATAAGTTGTTATTAGTCCATGTAACGATGTAGCATTTTTTTTTTTAAATGAGGATTCTCGGGTGCCCCTTTGATCATCCATGACAAAAGGGGAGTAGTATATTTTGTTTCTAGTTTAAACTAAAATTCGTTTTTGTCGGTATTCTACGTTGTATTTGTATCTTGTTATTTTTGTATTTATTTTTTGTGTTTCACATGATATTGTTTGGGTTGCTCTAAACATGAATGAAAAAGAAGTTTTGATAGGTTGTGAATATGTTGGTTAAAATTCTAACTTGATGGGTTGTAGAATTTAATTCATTTGTTATGTTTATAAGTGATTTTGTCACGAAATGTCAAAAGGAGGAGTTTATTAGGTCTAAGTTAGTTTTCGCAAATTTCATGTTCGTAATTGAGGTTGTGTTGATAGGTGCAAATTTTTGGTTTAGTATGCATCAAAAATCATTAAAGTGGAAGAAATTTGCTTGTCTATCACTCAGTAACCGTCAGGGAAGGTGCTTGAGCACAATTTCTACAGCATGAATACTCGATGGGCATCTGAGAGTTGCTCAAGCGCCTGTCATATTCAGTTGACCACTCGTCTTGTGTCTGAAAGTTGCTTGAGCGATCGTATAGGCAATGAGCCTTATTTCTCCTATTTCAAACGCTAAACACTCCTAAGCCACCTAAAACTGTGAAATACAATTTATATATAGTAGAAACACGTGTTGAAAAACAATGAAAGAAGAGAGAAGATCTCATATTTGAAGAGACCTATTGCAATCAAAATTCTCTTCAGCATTCAAAAATCAAAACACCCAAAATCCTCTAGCGTATAGCTTCTAGAGATCTGATGGATATGCGAGGTGATCGGAGTTCCAACTAAGGAAGAACAAGTTCGTTCTTGAAAATTCACAAGGAAAAAGAAGTCCACAGGTTCTAAAGCATGTGTTGAAATGCAATATCGAGGAGTTGTACGCGTAATTACAGATTGAGAGTCATAGTCTACTAAAATTTAGTTGTGTTAATTTTCAGCACATTTACTTGCTTTGTTGATTGCTGTGCTAAAAACTTTATTTCTTATATATCTAGACTATATGATTTGTGATTTGTTTATAGGATAAATCTACTTGTACATAATTTTTTATATATCAACGTGTCTTCCACTCACATGGGATAGGTACACCCGAATATTTTATTATGATGGACCCCACCCCATGTGAATGGAAGATACTTTAATGTACAAAAAATTGTGTACACCAAGCAAAGCCCGCATATATATTAATATTATTGATAAATTTAAATTTCACATAGAGTACCTACTCATTTCTCTCTATGTATAAAGTGGGTCGATTTTTTCACTAAATATTAACCTATATTGCATATAACTCTTTACGCTCTCTAGTAGTATTGGAATTGATTGGGTTTGTTACGGTTATTTAGTTCATTTCAATAATACCTTACTTTTCGTTTTTCGATATGTAATAGATACTATAAAATTATTGTTATTTATGAAATTTGTTTTATTAATTTTCAATTAACTAATATTCATATTAATCTAGATTCAATGAATTTTCACTTGATGAATCTTGAATTACGTGAATCAAGAGTTATTATAAATTAAATTATTCATATACATGTATCTAGAAATTTTATTGGGTATTTAAATTTATGTATCAATAATTAATTTTCATGTATCAAATGTAATATAAAAAAGATAGTTTGTTTATAGTATTTCATTATTTAAAAAATTTGAATCATAAAAATTGAATTTTGAAAGTACAATTTTCTTCTTCTAAATTTCTATGCTAAAATTTATTTTCTTTAATTCGTCAAAAACTCATCAAATCCTCCAACAAATTAGAACCAAATGTTACTTTTGCATCACTTATAAAGTATTTTAGAATAACGTATAATGCATGTTCAACTTTGCTAGTTAACTTAAAAGTTTAAGTAAATATTTAAAATTATTTAATTTTTTAAGTTAAATACTAACTTATATGTAAAAATAAATAAATAAAATAAAATAAATTTATTTGTAAGTATTAATATCATTTATGAGTAAAAAAAAAAAGAAAATTCATATAAAAAGAAAATTTTTATATATAATTTTATTCTTAAACTTTCACAATCGTTTAATAATAAACTCACAAGCATAAATTGGACAATTTTAAAAATCACTACTAAAACTGCTCAGAACCAGTACTTTAAAAAGGCTCATAACTGGTACGCCAAAACTCCCAAGCAGGCCCTTGAAGAGATTTTCATTGCAAAAACTAGATTAAACGTTATAACCCATTCATAACAAGCATACCCTTAAAGTAGCAACTTAGGCCATAATAACCAGTATCTAATATTTAATGTAGTCGGTCAGACAGTTGTTGAAGAAGTTTAGTCAGTAGACAGGTGAAAAATGTGCTGTTTCATTGACTCAGGCACTCCACATGGTAAAACCCCAAAAGGAAAAAGAAAACAGACAAGTCTAATATCTGTTGGAGTCCAGTATTCCTTCCATCTCGAAGTCCAGTAGCAAACAACATCAAGCAGGGAGCTTGAGCTTCTCATGGTTCTTCCAGCTTAGGTTAAAAAAAAAAAAAAAACACAAACAAACAAATTGAGTCCACTCGCTGAATATCTAGAACAAATATAAGCTAAATCTTTCTACTGCTAACAATAATGGGGATGGAGATGGTATATAATAATCACATTGGCAACACAATTCATAGATGCACGCGTGATTATATCTGTGTCCCTATTACCGAATCCTCCTAGAGAAGAGGTGACGTCAAAATTACCTCTTTATATAGTAGTAGAAGAAGTCGGCATAAAGAGCTGTCTGAACCAAGCCAGATAACCAAGCTGCAATTGTATTACATAATGAAGTCAAACCACCTTGGAAAACAAGACGAAATTTGAGCATAGCATAGAAAGAAACGATGGAAGTGCTTACGGATCCAGCGAACTTTGTGTGTCTCAATGAAGAAACGATATATCCAATTCATAAGATATAACGCACGATAAGCACTACATAACAGGAAAGCAAAAATGTTAGATATCCTTAGAGAGTAATAGTTGTCTTCAAAGTAAAAGTCATATTGAAATGCCATTAAAGACATTGAAAAATGAGTCTAGCGCAGAGAGATCTATATCAGTTTTTTTGTGCATAGCTAACTGAAAATGGAAAGATGCTATATTTTAAAAAGGAAAGAGAGAATTTTGAGCTATCTTTTGCACTAAAAGTAGAAAAAAGAAATATGTTTCCACATATTAAGATCCAGGTAATAGCACTGGGTTCTTCCAAGTTATGTAAAAAGCCAGAACAACAACAAAGCTGCGACATGCATGAACAGGAAAGAAAATAGACTATTCTCGCTCTGCCTTTTCTGCTTATATGGTCATTCCAGGAAATGATTAAGGATTACTTCAATGCCATAAAAAATATTGCACCTGGGAGATGTAGAGACCTTAAAAAAAAAGGTGAGACTAGAAATATGGCCTGTGATCAGAATATTTTCTAGTATATCTTAATACCATGAAGTCTCGATGAATATCAATATTTGCACATGATATAACTAGTTTTAAATAAAGAATTCAATCTCTCTGGATAACTAGTATTAAAGAAAGAAAAAGAGATGTGCAATGTTCCCTTGTGTAACCATAATATGAGTACTTATTTGAGCACTAATAATATACATAATTTTCAGGATTTGTGGTTTTTCAATTCGATGTTAGCAACAAAGAAAGAAACAAATTCATATATTTTTCTAACCAACTACTTACCCTAGAAGAAATACATAATTCCCAGTCAAGTTGTCAATGTTCTTAGTCTGTTGCAGCATTATCAACTGTGGTATAATTGCTACCGCTTCAAGATAAAGGGAGAATGTCCAAAGAACCTGTAGTAGAAACCAGGTCCTATTATATGTCACTTCAAACTATAATATGTCTATTTTTGTAATATGGAACGATTTCTTAAGACTTCGAATTATCTGATTCAACTCAAGTCAGTGTGACTGGATTCTACTTTCTATGTATAATGTATCTCTGCCCTTTTCATTTTCTGTAACTTAAACGAGTCCCAAACAAATAATCAAATTCGATTTTACTTTTGTTTACCTAGTTCAAACGGAACTATTTGTTGAACATTCGGCCCTAGCACTTTGAAACTATAAGGCATAAACTATCCCTAACACTTCACATGACCAATATTGAGCATGCAAATTTTGGGGTATTAACCTCAATTAACACACCAATGTAAGAACTCTAAAAACCTTATGTTGTCCCAATCATCAATGGCACCTGTAACAGGAAGGATGTGATTATTATTCCCTGCCTGACGACGCTAACTTTATCTGGTTCAATATGTGGTCAATTAAAGATATTCTGCCAGTAGACATGCAAAAATGACATTGAATTAAATGAGAAGAAAATGATGAACTATTCTTACCTCCATTACTGTAAACGTACGATGAACAAAAAGAGCCAGCACGAAGCATGGAGGAATCAGAAAGTAGTGTCTGAAAGTATCTTGGTCTTTGTTGTATGTTTGCTTTACTACTTTGTGAAACCTCATATACCAGACAATACATATCGAGGTTCCAATGAAAATTAGTTTCATGACAGTATTGTAGAAGGAATAGTACTTTGTGAACAAATCGAGGTACCGCGTAAGGAACAATAAAGCATACAGTTCCTGGGTCTTTAATGAAATTCCTGAGCAAATAAAAGGAGTTTTAAGCTTAAAATACTACAGAACCGAATTCCATGCAATGATAGGCATATCAAAGAGTACATTGTACAAAACTAAACACACTTAGAATAAGAGGCAAGTAGATCATTTATGATGAAGAGCACAAGACTCAATAACATTTAGGGAATGAATGATGAAAATATAGGATCGAGTCCTCTGATTCAGTAGATAACAACATATAAGGATAAAAAATGTCGAAAGGCATTTAGATTTATTTGCAACCTCTGAGGAGCTGTATGAGGTGAAAATTTCATGTAGGGTTCTCGCTTGATGAGTAGGTAAATGATTTTATTAGAATGAATTGTATGTTAATAACTTTCAAGAGTTGAATTTTTGTCCTTATTCTGCCAAACTACCTAGAACTAATTTTGATTTCTATTTGAAATTTACCATTTCTTTCGAAAAGTACATGCAACAGCCTATATCCGTCAAATCTAACAGCTGCAAGCACACTTCCTTAACAATATAGTTCAGCTTTACTGACACGTATTCGGTTTGATAAGAAATTATGAATTTCCAGTATAACATATAGTATCAACAATCATCTTTATTCTCCAATGTAAGTCAAATTTTCGATGAAATCCAGATATTAATTTGAAAAACCAGCACAAAATTAAAACCCAGTCACAGAGGAGGATGATAAAAACAAAACCATTTCCATAAACTTCAGGGAGAGAAGAAAGCCATGATTTCCAAATTTAGCAGCGTTGGCTTACAGATTGTTTGCCAAAATCTTCCATTTTTCACCCACGGTATTACTAAATTTGAGTGTGCTTGATATTCATGGGTCATTGTTCAGAAGATTTACAAAGCAGTTGCACATTTTCGGTCACTGATCAAATTCCGTTCATTCAAAAATTTATCTTTGTCAATCGTGAATTTTTCAAATGAAAACGCTAATTTTATAACTGGATTCCAAACCCTGATCCGAACTCCCAGCAATAAACTAGACGACCGTCACATTTCTCGCAACTAAAACAGTATCGATAAGCAGCAATATAATTTTTATTATCAAATCAATAAAACTTCGCCAAATCAAAGAAATACTGCAGAAATTGACACACACTTTTTTACACAGGTATACAGTATGTATACATACCAGCACAGGATTTCATTGTGCGGATTTTGAGGAGAAGAACAATTATGCTGAGGAGGTGGGTCATGTCCCCCGCTAACCTAAACACATTCATGGCTGCCTCGTCGCTCTGGTCTGAGTTGTCCCTTGTGGTACTGTATGCTACCCTTGTTGTACGATTTCGTTTGACATCTATGTGCTTAGATTTTGTATCGGTTCCTAACGCTGGAGAGTTTGTGTTACGAAAACGGCAGAATCTTACACAGCCGCCCCTGAAGAACGCAAAGTTGACTATGGTTGACTTGAAAGAGAAAATTGGACAACCAAGCCCTATCCATTAATTTTCATTCTATTACTTTTTATTTTTCTTTCTCCCATTTTCAATCACACAATTTTTCATAAAATAATATTACACATAAATCGAAAATATTTTCTTCCTTTTCAACTATTCATTTTTTTAAAAAAAATATTATTTCACCCTATTTCATTTCCACAAAATGAGGGTCAAACGGGGGCTTAATTTGAAAAAAGATTGGTGGTTTAAATAGTATTTTTTTTAGGGATGTGCGATTAAAAAATGGAAAAACCTTTTGAATTTAGGTGTAAAATATTTTACCATTTGAATGTGTGGTTGAAAAAAAATATGAAAATTAAATTAAATTAAATTAATGACCATGAAACAGGTAACAAGTAGAAAAGAAACTTAGGGTCTGTTTGGTAGTGATTATGATAATTGATTTTTTGATCATTAGAAAGAAAAGTGAATCCCACCTATTAATGAAGAAGTAAAAAATAACGGTTGAAATATTAAAATAACATTAAAAAAAATTGCTACCAAACAGGGCTTAAACAAATATCTTTTTTTCCTTAAGAATGATGCTACAATTCCGAAGAGATTTACATAATCCTTGATATAATAACTACATGACATTTTATCATTTGATTATTTAAAATACAGTCCACTTTTTCATCGAATTATATCTTGTCAACACCCATTATGTTAAGGCATATGTCATATCTTTTCTGGCAAAGTAACATTATTCTTTTCTCAATTTCTATTCTATTAACGGTTGTATATATGTATATACAGTTAAACTTCGATAAAGTAATACCCTCGGGACCTGAAAAAAATATTCATTTAGCGAGGTTATTTATTTATCGATAAATGAATAAATTATTCATTTATCGATAAATAAATATTTATTATTTTAGAGAGATCTTTTCAATATAAAATATGTACATTGTATGTGGTAAGAAAAATCAAAAGACACTAATCAAAGTATTATTTGAATTTAGGGAAGTTCAAAAGTTTTAGTGAAACTTAATGTCTCTAAAAACTAAATTCACGTACATAGCAAAAGAAAATGTTTAGTCTTTACCTATAAAAGCTAGATGTTTGGAAAACATATTCCAAGCACATACAATATTTTGTTTCCCCTCCAATGTCTTCTCATCATTTGAAAGGAGTAAAAAAATCAACTTTAACCGATAAAATAGAGAGTGCAATATGTGAGCATAAGAAATAGAATCCAACTATTAGCCAAAAAGATATGCAAGCATGGGTGCAACAAAAGTTTGATTTGACTATTAGTCAATCAACAATATCGAACACTCTCAAAAGGACGTCGGAATATTTGTCAAATGAGATGAAAAATAGCGATGTTAAAAGGCACAAATATGCAAAATACCCTGATTTAGAGAAAGTTTTGTATGAGTGGTTTCTTCAAAAGCAAGATAAAGTGAACATATATGGAAAAATTATCCAAGGAAAAGCAAAAGAGCTTTTGCAAAAAATGTATGGTGAAACTAATCCAAAATTCAGCTTTTCTAGTGGATGGTTAAAACGTTTCAAGGCAAGATATGGAATCAAATCTTACCGACGTTTTGGTGAAAGTGTTCAGTTATCATGGAGAACATTGAAAATGCTTTACCTAAAATACGATCAAAACTAGACCAGTTTCAGTTGAAGGATATTTACAATATGGATGAAATTGGATTATTTTACCGATTGGAAGCTGATCATTCACTTGCTACCAAGCAGCTCGAAGGATGCAAAAAAAATAAGGAGAGAATTACTGTTGTTGTTTGTTGCAATGGTGATGGATCTGACAAAGTACCACTTTGGGTTATTGGTAAGTATGCAAATCCTAGATGCTTTAAAAATGTGAACATGAACAATCTTAATTGCAAGTATTGATCAAACAAGAAAGCTTGGATGACTGGCTTGCTTTTTCAAGATTTTGTTGGTTGGTTTGATAAGAGAATGAATGACAGGAAGGTTCTCTTAATAGTAGACAATTGCCCAACTCATCCAAAGGTAGTTGAAGGTTTGAGAAATGTAGAGTTATTTTTTTTACCTCCTAACACAACGTCTAAGATTCAACCATGTGATGTTGGGATTATTCGAGCATTCAAAGCTCATTATCGTCGTCGTTTTTATTCTAGCATCTTACAAGGCCTTGAGGTTGAAGTACCAAATCCTGAAAAAATTAATATTTTGAATGCTATTAATTTTGCTAACATGGCTTGGAATTTTGATGTGAAGACAATTGCAAGTTGTTTTTGGCATTGCAAGATTCGGTCAGAAGAAAACAATGTTCCCGAACCAGAAGTTGGTGAATTAGATGAAGGCATCCAAGGATTAAATGACGTCATCTCTAATTTACACTATAGAAATGTGATGGATGTTGAACATCTTTTGAATTATCCTAACGAGAATAATGCAGTTATGAAATCACCTACAGACGAAGAAATTATTCAATCGGTAATGAACAGTAATGATGATGAGAATGATCATGAACCAAATGATAGTAGCGTTGTCCCAAATGTGTCGTCAAAAGAGGCATTTCAAGCAATAGTCACCTTAAGCAACTACTTGTTACAACACGAGCAAAATATTCCGGAAGTTGTGTATGCTCTACAAAAAGTTAAGGATAGGATTCATTATGGTTTAGGTGGGAAGAAAAAACAATCAACTATAGATGCATATTTTTAAAAGGAATGATTGTTGTACGGATATTGTTGATTGATTGAAAGATTTTGGTCTATATGTTTTTTTTTCAATGAAATCCAGTAATTATTACTTTATATTTTTATTGGGCCCTTAAGGATTCAATTTTTTTTATTACTTAACGCATTTAGCGATGTTATTACTTTAGTCCATTGGCCCAAGTCGGGATCGAAAGAAATTATTATATAATCGAGGTTATTATTTTATCGAACATTACTTTATCGAGGTTTAACTGTAATATAGTTTATATAATGATTTACATATACATGGTGTGTATGATTGTGTCGAATTTTTATCAACCAAATAAAAACAAAAAACTTTCCTACTATTTTTTAATATATAACGTGTGTAAAACATTATATAACTCATTTTTTATAAGTAGCATTATTCTTCCATTAATAACATCACATTATTTTCCACTTAAACATAAATTTTTATCAAAGTCAAAATCAACAATTCATATGGAATTTATACTTTTTCAACCACATATTTCATTAACTTTTATCAAAATCAGCTTAATATCTTATTTTAACATCTGCCAAATAGGGGCTTAATAATGTAGAGTTCCAAATTAATCCCAACTTAAGATAACATTAGTCCATCTCGAATTTAGCCCTTAGTTGATCTTCATTATTTTGAAAATATATTTTTTTCTACATTCTTTCAACTATACACTTATCAACAAAATAATATTACGCACAAATTTAATTTTTTTCCTTATTTTTTAACTATAAATTCTTCGTCAATCGACTATTTCAAAATAGATTTTTACAAAAAATAGGGTTCAAATAAGCTCTTAATCATAAAGTATTGCTTATTTTCACGCATATAACTTAACCAGCATGAACACCCAAACACATCCATGTGTTGTAATTGGTGCCAGTGTACTTGCCTATATACAATGCACATGTTTATCGACGTGTTAGCTCCGTTGATCCTGACTAATTAGTATATGCTTGTTTGCAACATTCGATCCATTTGAAACGCACTTGATGAAAATGGAGCACTCTCACTTTGTCTCATGCATCAATGGTCGCTCGCATTTGTCCACTACGCAATGCTCGTACTCACTACTTTCTAAGGGCTATTAAGCTTATTGCATGCCACATCGTCCTTCATTAGTGCTTTATCCAAAAATTTACTCGAAACGTCATCATTTCATATTCAATCCCCACGATGTCTACATTTTTCTTCAATTTGCCCAACTATATCGTGTCACCTCATGGTTTATGTAAAGCCAATGGAACACTATGGTAAAACTATACGCGGTGGCCAATGTACATGTGGCATTTGTAGATCTCACCTTATTAACTCCCTTGACTAAAGGTCTTGTCATATCATTAACGTATCCTACAAAGCAATGATTTGTAGCGAAGCTCTCAATTTCGGTATTGAGTCCTCTGAATTCTACTTTCGACGAACACTTGACCATTAAGCTATTGCCATCGCAATGTGGCTAAAATTACAACAATGCCACTAACCACATTCCTCCACTTGATAATGTTGTGTTGTAATAAAACGAAATTGAAATCACACTAGACTCTAAGGGAAGCTTAGTAATGTTTCAAGGAAGCTCCCATGCGAGTGGCTTCTCAAAACTTAAATATTTCGACTCTCCATTTCAAGCAAGAACATGTTGGCTCCACGGCTCTGTGTGAACTCAATGTTAGTCTGCCTTCAAAGTGGCCGCAAATGTTGGCATCAAGTTAACACACTGCCATCCCCAACATGATGTCTTTGAACATTTTTGAAATGGTCCTGCTAGGCCACACTTGAGATTAACGTATATACAAACTTTTTAACTTAAAAGGCCTAAAAGGAGAGAGAAAAATGAATAAATATAAGAAAATAGAAAAGTAAGCTTATTAAGATGAGTGTTTGGTGGGGATTAAAATTAGATTTTTTAGTAGATTATGATAGAAGTTTTTCAAATATGTGGTTAAAAAGTTGTGAAACTCATAAAAGATGTGGTTAATATTGATTTTTTGACTTTGACTTAGATTAAAATCAGATTTTAATTCCTACCATAAAGGCTCTAAAGTTTTAAATTGTTATACTAATGGTCACTTGATCAAAAAAATTAACACAAAATCATATGTTACCATTAAGTGCCACTGTGCCAAAATGACACCACACTACGTTATTATCTATCTGACAACTCACCAAAAATCGTTGTTAAAAATAAAATTGTTAGTTTACTATATGGTTCAAGTCCTAAATCGGATTAAGCTCCAATTTGGTGCTAATTTTTCAAGCCAAAAACTCAAAATTTTGACTGTTACTTAACATAGAGCTTGTTTGGGAGTGATTTTGAGAATTGACTTTTTGATCGTTATGAGAAAAGTGGGGTCGATCTGTGAGAGAAGAAGTCAAATATGACAGCTGAAATAGTAAAATAACGGTCAAAAAATCAAAATTTTTGGGAAAAAAATCATTCCCAAACAAGCTCTATAGTTAGTCATTTTTTTATTTTTATTTTTTTGGACCTCTTCACATATAGGTCAGACCTAGCCTTCAAGTTAACGATCAAAAAATTAATTTTCAAAATCAACACAAAACATGTTCTAGAACTAAGGTCACATTGCTATTTAAGTGAAATACTGATTTTCAAAATTGACATATATTATTATAATTTATCTAAAACTGATTTAATTTTATAATGCCTACATAATTTTCTTCTGTGTTGACTTCACCATTGGTTTACCGTTTACAGATGATTACAAAGAACTTTGAAGATTATCCCGAGCATCGGCTCAAGTTCTTTTCATTACTTCGTGCTATCGCTGCTCATTGTTTTCCTTCTTTGGTTCAATTGTCCAGTGAGGTTTGTATTAAAGTTCAAATTGATAATTCCTTCTTGATTTTATGGTGGTTAACATTATGGGATTGAGCTTAAGTTACTTCAGTTTACTTAGATTAATATTCCACAACAATTTTGTGACAATGTGCTCTATTCTTATTATTGGTGGTTTGCATCAGTAATTAAAGCTTGGGATGGATTCCATCATTTGGGATTTCCGGCACACTGAGCGAGTTTTGCTGAAACTGGACTAAACCTTCTATTGGAGATGCTGAAGAACTTTCAGGTTTGTGTTTGTATGTTTCGTATTGTATAAATAATTTATGCTGAAGGTAGCATAACTGTTGCTGTGAGTACCTTGCAGGCTTCTCAGTTCTGTTATCAGTTTTACCGGAGTTATTTTTTGACAATTGAGCAAGAAATTTTTGCTGTTTTGACGGACACCTTTCACAAGCCTGGACTTAAATTGCAAGTACTGGTGCTGCAGCACTTATTTTGCATGGTAATATGCATGCTCTTGTTTCGTCTAGCCTTGATGCTGTCTTTTGCCTATGAGCATGTTATTTGCATTCGTAATGAATCCATTACATGTGGAATCTGGTGCCTTGAGTGAGCCTTTTTGGGATATCTCGACAGTTCCTTATCCAAATAATGGTTGTTGTTACGCCCCTATCTGAATCACCTTGAAATGTCCACCACCACACACTCCGATCTGATAGACACCCACCCGAAGTGGTTCCAAAATGATATCCCCAATGTCAACGACCTTCTATCACACTACGAGACATAGGCGATCCTGTTGAACTGACCAAAGCACCTTAGCTCCTGAGGTCGAGGCGAATCCGCCGCCAATTTCAGAAGGGGATCTTTGCCAAGATCCTTTCTGCCCCTAAGGTTTAAATTGATTTAACGTCTCCATGAGGTTAGTTGATGTGATTTATCAACTTTATATCAACTCAACTCGGGAGAAGCAATTACCCGCCCACTCTACAGACGCGGCTAATTGACGCCTATGAGCAAACACCTCATACCGTCAAACATATACACGTGCCTCACATCCAACGATTCATCCCACCTATAAATACCCAAGGGTTGACAAGAGGCAAAGGTAATGAAACTTTTACTACATAGCACTCCATAGCAATTATATATATTTTCTCCTCCCCCTCATTATTTTGCACAACCCCTGGGTACTGTTTCGTCCACCTGAACCTGACTTGACCGTCGAAGTGTATACGGCCACCACCATCCCCATTGGTCCCGACCGTGTGCATCTGACCGTGCGTTGATTGTGCGCAGAGAGGAATACGTGGAGTAGCTCTCAATTAGCCACGTGGAAGGTCCAATTTTCGAGGTCAACAGATTGGTCTGTTACGCCCCTATCTGAATCACCTCAAAATGTCCACCACCACACACTCCGATCTGATAGACACCCATCCAAAGTGGTTCCGAAGTGATCTCCTCAATGTCAACGACCTTCTATCACACTACGAGACATAGGCGATCCTGCTGAACTGACCAAAGCACCCTCGCCCCTGAGGCCGAAGCGAATCCGTCGCCAATTTCAGAAGGAGATCTTTGCCAAGATCCTTTCTGCCCCTAAGGTTTAAATTGATTTGACGTCTCCATGAGGCTAGTTGATGTGACTTATCAACTTTATGTCAACTTAACTCGGGATAAGCAATTACCCGCACACTCTACAGACACGACCGATTGACGCCTATGAACAGACACCTCATACCGTCATATGTATACACGTGCCTCACATCCAACAGTTCATCCTACCTATAAATACCCAAGGGTTGGCAAGAAGCAAAGGTAATGAAACTCTTACTCCATAGCAAGTATATATATTTTCTCTTTTCCCTCATTATTTACACAACCCCTGGGCACTATTCCGTCTACTTGAACCTGACTTGACCGTCGGAGTGTATACGACCGCCATAGCCACTGCCCCGCTGGTCCCGACCGTGTGTATCTGACCATGCGTTGATTGTGCGCAAGGAGGAATACGTGGAGTAGTTCTCAGTTGGCCATTTGGAAGGTCCAATTTTCGAGGTAACAGATTGGCGCTGTCTGTGGAAAAACTTCCCGTTCAAAGTTCTGCATTCTCCACCGGAGAAATCACTGAAAAACTAGCGATTAACCCTGAAAAGGACACGTTCTTGAAAAATAACAAAGTCGA